TTCAAAGATTTCATTCTTGAATATGAAAAATCCATTGCTCCTTACATTTAAGTATTAAGAAATACAATTTTTCAATTCATAACTTTTTACTCAAGGTGTGAGAAAATAACCCGAGTTTGTATAAATTATTCCCATGATCATAGTTACTAATGATGATTCTGCTTTTTATAAGCCTTTATTTAAAAAATATTTTTAAAATATTGGTATCCCCAAATACATGAGATGCTGTTTGTTGATAAAAAAATTATCAATTTCTTTTTAGAATGAATAATATTTAAAAGCGATAACAGCATGAAATCAGTTCTCAGATCAGCTGTCACCACTGAGAGGTAAACAGTTTAGAGCATTAATGCATTCAGAGAAACTACAAAAATAATCCCATATTTACATATTGTTTATATTTCCTTACATCTTCCCTTACTCATCATTCTACTTTGGAAAGTTCTTGTTAAAGAATTAACAGGAGAATTGGACTCTCACTCAAGATAGTGTCTTTTAAATGGTTTTCTTAGGTTCAGAATTTTGACTTAATTTTTAGGCCAATTCAGGCAGTCATCCCAGCTACACTTTCTTTACTCTGATTGTATGACTGAATTAACTTGGTCAACAATTAGCCTTTTATTTCTGGAACCCCAAATTTTTATTTGAATTTCTTCCTCCTTTATTCATCAGCTATGCCTCTTTTTCTAGTTTCTTCCTTTCTGACTTACAACTGTAAGCTTCAGTTAGGGACTATGTCTATATCCTTTCTTGTTCTTTATGCACTGCCTAAATATGTAACAAATAGTAGTTAGAAAAATGGTGAAGTTCAAAGATTAAGTTTGTAATAAAATTAATACATATGCTTACAGTGCCCAAAGTATTCTGTATTCCACAATAAAAATGTTACATTTCCTAATTACAGTCTTTACAACCAAATTATTAATTGCACTTAATTATATGCTGAAATAAAATAATCTTTATGCTAAAAATCAACTGTGTGAAAATAAGACTGGAAAAAAATATGGTTCCTACTAATCTGATGGATCCAGGCTTGAAGCAAAATTGATTATATTTAAATTTGAGAGCTATCTGAATTCCAGGCTTGGTAACTTACTTTTTTCTCTTCCTCAAACATTTCAAGACATAGCAGGACCCTCAGACTGAGTCATTTGAAATACATGGTCAGTTTGCCTGACTTCAATTAATTTAATACCTTAGATCTCTCCCTTCAGTTTATAAGTGAAGGTCAGAGTTTTGTTGGAGTATAGTAAATTATCCATTCCACACAAAAGCTACTGTTCTATTTGAATGGCTAGAAAAAAAACTGAAGTTATATGTATTAATTCCTAAGATCATTCAGTTGTCAAATCTTAGACCATAAGCAAAATGTTATTTTTTAAGGTAAATGATCTAAAGAGAAATAGAAAATCCATTCATCAAACATATTAAAGCTGTTAGAATATTACTGAACAACTTCCAAAGGTGGTAAACTCTTGTTATGTAGATAGAACACACATATTTAAATCATCAATTTTATTTTATTTTTCTGAATACCTGGCCATCTCCATGACCTGTTTCTTTTGAAACCCTCTTTTGTGGTAGTTTTCTCAATCTGGTTAGCTTAGGTATCCTAACTTAAATAAATTTATTGAATGACTTTTACTTTGACTGACATAAAAGATAACCACAATATTTGTGAAATTTGTGAAAATTACAATTGTCTCTCATTCTACAAAAAGTACCTTCTTATAGGCTTCCCTGTCCATCCCTCTATCCATTCGGTGGATTAGAGGTATCCCGGTTTTGCCAATATATATAAGAAAAAAACCTCTTTTTTGTTTTTTAATTTTGTCATTTTGATACATATTCAATTATATTTGAAGGTCAAACTTCTTGCCAGAATTTTTGTCTCCTTTCAAGGGCAAGCTTCTCCTCAAGATAGTTTCTGAGTTTAGATGAAAGTTCAATAAACCATTTACCATTGGTAAAAGGGGCCCATGGTCTCTCTATATAGATACTTGAATACAATAAATAACATTTAGATAAATAGCTGTCCTGGATCCTCAGAGGCCTCAAAGGTCATGGCTTTTGACCTATTTGATTATTGGGCAAACTGCTGGCATTTGGTCACCACCAGCTAATATCCTGCCTGTTTTCTAGATTTTAGCCTCTGTCCTTCTTGGACTTCTAGAGAAAAATCTACAATCAGAGCAAGCCAAAGTGGTTTTTTCTTGGCATATGTGGCCCTACTGGTCTTTCCATGCCAACCTTCTATCCTGGACTCCATGTTGGCTCTCACTAGTGCTATGAACCCTATATCTCACAACATTAATTCCTAGGATCATTTAATTGTCAAATCCCAGACCATCCATTGCCCACCCACAGGCTCTGCTGTTTAGAAGCTCTCCTTTTTTTTTTTTTTTTTCTGTAAAACTCAGCTTTTTCCAGGCATAGTGGCACACAGCTTTTGCAGGGCATGAGGCTGAGGCAGGAGGATCACAAATTTAAGGCGAGACTCAGCAAATTAGTGAGGCCCTAGGCAACTTAGCAAGATCCTAATTCAAAATAAAAAATGAAAAGGGCTGGGGATTTGGCTCAGTGGATAAGTGTTTCTGGGTTCAATCCATGGTATGAAAAAGAAAAAGAAAAGAAAATCTCAGTTTTCTAGATTGTTATTTCACTGCAGTCTAAGTAAAAAGGCATCTTTGGGGCTTTAAGCAATGACTTCTCCTTTTCAGACACCATGTGTCCTTTCCCTAAAGTGCTGAGACTCGTCAGTTTACTCAGTGAAGAAGTACAGGAAAGCATGGTTTAAGGGGGACGAAAAAAAACACTTGATTAGATCAGAAAATACAACACAATCGGTAAGTTGATTGACTCCCTGTTACAAACAACTCAATAATTCAAAACCTAGTGTAAAATTGTTAAATATTTTATTATGTATAATTGACCCAAGGAAGGGCATAGGAAACAAACTCAGCACCCAATCTAGGTGGGAAGTCTCATAGGAGACCCTCTCTCCTCATAAAATAAGAAGCATAATAGACTAAATTTCATTAAATAGGCAAACTAGAAATAATGTCTCTCCAGAAAGCTGCAAGTAAAATATACTGCCTCAAACATTTTCATTGTGTGGAGAAGAAAAATAATCTTCATTGAGAATTCATACCATAGACTGAAAAATATGATATAAAATGCATCAAAAAGAGGCAAAAGATGGAAAATATGTGTCAAGATACTTGGAGGTCAAATGAGAAGTCCTGGTGTATAGCCAGGACTATTAATGGAGTGAATACATACCAGAGAGAGAATGTTTGAAGGGATATGTGATAATTTCCTGGAAATTATGCAAGAGATCAACCCACAGATTCAAGAACCTCAAAGAACCTGTAAATCTGAAGCAGGATAAAATAAAAAGAAATCCTCAGCCAGGCATGGTGCCTGTGTGTCTTGGGAGGCTGAGGCAGGAGATCACAAGCTCTGGGCCAACCTTAGCAACTTAGTAAGACCTTTTCTCAAAAGAAAGGAAAAAAAGTCTGGGATGTAGCTCAGTGGTAGAGTAATCCTGGGTTCAATCACCAGTACCATAGGAGGAGGAGAAGGGGAAGAAATCCTCTCTCAGATATGCTGTTGTAAAACTGTAGAATTACAAAGAAAAGATATTAAAAGCAAATAGATAGAAAAAGGCATAGCATTTGAAACCACCACTGACTTCTCCATAGTAACAAGGAAGTCAGTGGTGGTATCTTCAGTTTGCTAAGTGAAAATACCTAACATGAATGAGGGCAACATAAAGACACTTTCAGATAAGGAGAAAACAGAAAGCTGAGCCTTGTGGTAGATAATCTAGGAGGATCACAAGTTTGAGGCCAGTATGAGCAACATAACAAGACTCCATCTCAAAATACAAACAAAAAGGGCTGGAGATGTAGCTCAGTGGTAGAGCATTTGCCTAGCATGTGTGAGGTCCTGGGTTCCATTTCCAGTAATGCAAAAAAGCAAATAACAGCAACAACAAAAATATCAAAAGCATTTTCTACGAATAACTAAAAGAAGGATGTTCTAGGCCAAAGGAAAATAACCCTAGGTGGAGGGACTGAGATGTAAAAAGAAATTATAACAAGAAAGATGGAAACTGGGGGTAGACATAAATATGCATTAACTGCATACAGCAATGTTTATATCCAAGAGAATTTTTTTTAAAGATACCACTTAAGTATATGACAATAATACCTTATATCACAAATAATATGATTGTAGTTATATATTCTGTTATTGATTATTTGAAAGAAGAGTGAATATATTTAACTTTGCACTTTGATGACTTATGTATGTAGGCTGAAATATATTCAGATTAAGAGAAGAACAATGACAACAGAGCGTGCAGAGGGTATAACTTCCAAACTACAAAAAGTTGGGGTAGGGTACAGAAAAGTTAGGACAAATAGAAAATGAATAACAATCCAAATATATCTATAATTACAAAAATCAGAAAAGAACAAATGCTTTATTTTAAAGATAGAGATCATTAGATAAATTTCTCAAATTAACTACATGCTGATTACCAGAACTCTCCAAAGACAGAATATATAAAACTAGAAAGTAAAAGGATGAAAAGAATCTATACTAAACAAATAATAACCAAAAACACCAACAAAAATTGATATTTTCTATTAGTTTTGTATAAATGAAACTTTAATTAGACTAGAGTTTCTAAATAATGATAAAATTTCAATTTAATAGAAACATACAATATTTTGAATATGTGTATGCTTAAGAACTAAATTTAAAAACACATAATAAATAATATATTTGTAAATAAATTTGATGGGCAAGAAGAAATAGATTAATTTGTTATCATAATGAAAAACTTGAACACATCTACAGAAGGAGTAAGTTTTATCTTTGATATAGAACAACTACAATTCAAAAGATGCATGGAAATTTTCAGCAGGATGATCACATATGGGGTCATAAAGTAAGTCCCAACAACTGCCTCTTCTACTAAGCCATACAACCTCATTAAGTTGTCCACTGGGAAGGACCGGCCACATGTAAGTAAGCTTGTTCCATAGGGGATTTTCAACTCTGGAATGCTTCCATTGGCCTGGCTTACTGATCCCTTCATGTTTTATGGCCCACCTAAAGCGAAATAAAAACAAAATGAGATGTAGCAAGGCTAAATGCCATTTCAAAATACATATTTTAATTGAGTACTTGCTATGTACTAGGCGAAGACTTAGTTTGAAATAAAAACGCCAGTCTGATCATTTGCTGCTTACAAGAGACACAAATGAAACTAATTTAAAAACACTAGATTTTAAAAATCAGAAAACATGTTAAATTAAGACAGAATTGTCAATATTATAATAGACTGAGGAATTTAACACAAAAGAAAGACTCATTTTATAATAATAATGACATCAAACAAAGCTTTTAGATATTCAGAGAGAAACTAATATACACACAATTATTGTGGGAGAAATTATTACAAGATCAACAAATTACAAACTACAATGGCTTATTAAAATGATAGCTTATGTTTAAAAAAGCAATAAATAAAGACATAAAATATCTGACCACTCTAACAAATAAATGTAATTATGATCATTTATTTATACACATTGTGGTCTAACCGTCTGTCTTTCTCAACATTTTCTGAACATCTGTAATATTTGCTAAATACACACAAAGTAAACTTCAACACAATTGTAAAATAAAATTCACACACATTGTGACAAATAATAAAATATATTTAGATATAAGTGGAAGTTTAAATTTTACAGTTTGAATCATATAATAATTTAAAATCCGCACATCTCTTTCCCCAAATATTATTTATCAGATAGGAAAAAATTAACATGATCAATAGCTACTTAATCAATAAAAATAATCTATGTGAAAACTTATAGTATATATCTAGATTTATATTCAAATTAAACTCGAAGTGTTTATTTATTAACAGCTACATCAAGAAGGTAAATTAATGAAGCTTTCAACTCAATCACTTATTTTAAAAACATAAAATTATCCCATGGAAAATAGGTGAAGGGGAATTGAGATTTAAATATAACTAAATAATTTGTAAAAGTAATCTTCAGTGGAATGTTTTGAAGAAATGTTTTTGAAATAAAAAAAGAAAATACCAAATCTTTTGCAAACAAATCTAGATTAATAACACAAACTAAATGGGAAAATTAAGCTAAATTATTAATACAGATGATCAAAAGTGAGAGTATATTATGCATGCTTAATAATAAATGCAATAATTCTGATAAAATAAATGAATTTCTGAAAAGAAAATTTTATGGATTTCAAATAGAAAACATCCTCACATATATAATTTCATAGGTCATGGAATATATCATTTTTTATGCTATATAATATATTCTAAACCAAAAAGATATAGAAAACTAGTTAATTCATTCCATGAAAGGAAGATAAGCTTCATAATAAAGTCAATCACTAGCAATTTAAGAAAGATACAGCAATAATACATATAATTATATATGTAAAACTCCTTAATCAATATTAACCAATAAAATGTAATGTTATGTCAAAATCACCATAGCTAAAAAAAACTGGTCCTAAAAATGAAATGATGGACATTTATTAATAAAATACATCACTGATTAGTGAAGGAGAATATAGGAACCACACATCACCCATAATTTTCTAGCACATAGGATGGTCATCAGACCCTGAAAAAATTTCTAAGATTGACCAGCCCTATCAAACCATCTGCAGTACTCCACCTTATGTTGAAGGGCCCAGTTTTCCCACAAGCTTGCTGGAAATGCATGGGGCCCAGACACCAAGAGGTAGTGGGAACAGGAAAGACCTATTTCTAAACAACATGGAACCAGAAAAAATAAAGTTGATAGTTCTCAGAAGACAGGCAATGGTAGAATATAGCTCCCATGTTATATTTCCCTTCACTGAGAGTGAACTCATACACTTATTATCTGAATGATGATTTTTATATGTCTTATTTTCTCTTAATACCTCATAAAGTGTTAGCTATATACAAGACAATACATATTCCATAAGCTGAAATCAAGTCTAAAGAGAAATAAAAAATCCATTCATCAAACATATTCAAGCTGAACAATTTCCAAAGGTGGTAAACTCTTGTTATTGTAGATAAAACACACATATTTAAATCATCAATTTTTTTTTGTTTTATTTTTCTGAATACCTGGCCATCTCCATGACCTGTTTCTTTTGAAACCCTCTTTTGTAGTAGTTTTCTCAATCACACATTAAGTTATTCCAGACCTGGAGATGTGAAAGCTCTCTTCTTGTCCTGCAGAGCCATTTTCAGGTTACTGTTACTCTATCCATCTCCAAAGATGCCCGGTGTTTTGAAACACATATCTGTAACCTATAGCACCTACTACCCTTTTTATTGAATTCATATTAGTTCTCCTGTATCCTCCCTTCCCATTTATTAAAGAATTTACCACCCTGGCTTACTTTTTTGTTTTTTCCACCTTTGCTCCTAAAATCATTCAACATCTTTTCAATACTAAGTAGACAATCTACCCTGGCCTCTCAGTGCCTCCTGTTTACTTAACCTCATTTCTTATCTACCTACCCTTCCCATGGACACAATCCCAAACCAGGCATCACATATAATTGAAACCACTTCCAAGTCCAATTTCAAGGCCACCTTCCCATCACCTCCCTTTTCTCCAATTTATGTATTTAAGTAGCCTGTGCCAACAATTCCTCAACTGTACCAGATGCTCCAATCCATTTCCTCTATTGCCTTTCATACTCCAGAGCCAGGGGGGTATCCCTTCCCTTCGTTCTCAGCCAAGATTCATGGTATAGTGTTATAGCCACTCTTTTGTCTTCACTCTCAACCCAGTATCCCTCTTTTCCTTCTTTGCACTCACCTTGAAAAAATATAAACCAAGTATTGTTAAGTCCAGTTCTCTATGCTTTGAATTTAATACCTATATCTCAACAGTTGAGCAAAGGTTGGAGAAAAAATAATCATGAACAGAATTACTATAAGAGCTTGGTGATGGTGGGAAGTAATAGGAACTTATTTGAAAATGCTTTGAGAATTAGGACTGTTTTGGTTGTCATAATGACTTGGAGGACTGTTCTCATTTAACTGGTAGGAGTTTAAAAATATCAAATGTATGTGAAAGTATAAGAAGTTAGACCTGCATACCACAAATTTTACAGTTTTTCTCTGAGCATTCATGGAGGCAAAAAAAAAATCTATTTGCCTGATTCTAAAAACAAACTATATTTTATACAAAACACAAAGTTTCTTTGCACAATTTTAATACACACTGAATTCTCTACTAATTCATCTCCCTCAAGGATAGATCTGTTTCTTTCATATCATTAACTTTTTTGCAAAAATCATATCACTATTGACATCACCATTCTTGGCAACAAATATAACATAGTTGTATACTTTGAAACTTGTGGTTCACATATTCAGGTGATTCTGTATAGAGGAACAAGTATATACAAACTTCATAATGTTTTCTAGACAGCTGGGCTGAGATTTTACATTACAGTATATATTACTTTTACTTCCAAGCTATTTTTCTTTGATTACCGTTGTCATTATAGGACAGGCATTTCTTCAAAAGTTATCGTGATGATCAGGTTCTCTTAACTATGAATTTTATTTTGTAATAGTAAAGAAGTCATTATAAAACGTTTGTTATAAAAGGAAGCATCATATCTGATTGTGCTAACATTTACCATGTTAAATTTATGACATAAACCTCAGGTGGACTCCAGCCCTATTGTGAGAGGGGCACATCAATTCCTTTTCATTAAACCTCTCAGATTCCATTGCCCATTTCTTGATGTCTGCCGGCAATCTTATTTTGCTGAGAAAAGAGAAGTGGACAGAAAAGACTTTCCTCATCCTCTCACCAGCAAATCTACCAGTCCTTGTTGCTGTGATTGCATATACTCTGTTGCCCTCCTGCCACCATGGAGCTGTCTGTGCTCTTGATCTAAGCCAACATTTTTCCTTGTGCCCCAGATCCTTATCTTCTCTCCTCTAGGACTTTGTTCTTGCCCTGCACCATTAATTTTCCTTCCCTTCTGGGTCATTCCATCTGTATAATGTTTGACAGTCAAATATCTTTGAAAGAAAATAAAAATGAAAAAGGAATCCTCTCTGCACCCTACATCCTCTTGTAGTCATTGCCTTATTTCTTTGTGTCCCTTTACAGCAAATTCTTTAATAAAAGATTTGTCTCTTTCTCCTCTCTTTCTCTTTTCTCATAAACCAATTCAAATTTTTGTCTTTGAAACACCAGTGAAACTGCCTCATAAGGTTTTTTAAATTTTTTTTTTTAGTTGTAGAAGGACACAATACCTTTATTTTATTATTTTATTAATTTATGTGGTGCTGAGGATCGAACCCAGTGCCCCACGCATGCAAGGCAAGCATGCTACCACTGAGCCACAACCCCAGCCCCAACCTCATAAGGTTTTTACATTACCAAGACCAAAGATCAATTCTTAAAACATAACTAAATTAACAACAGCAGTGTCTGACAAATTCTCATTCCCTTCACTTTTTTTCTGTTTTTGTTTTTTGTTGTTGTTGTTGTTTTATTTTTGTTTAATTTGTGTGTAGTACTGAGGCTTAAACCCAGGGCCTCGCACATAATGGGTAAGCAGTCTAGGTGAGTTACATCCCAGCCCTTATTCCTTCATTTTTTTTAGGGGTCTAGCTATGTTGCCAAGGTTGGGTTGAACTTGGGATCTTAGCCTTCTGAATAGTTCCTGAGTAGCTGGAATTACAGGCATGCACCACCATGCCCAGCTTCCCTCCTCCTTAAAATACTTTCTTCACTTGATTCCTGGGAAACAATATTCTCCAAGTTTTCTCCCATGTTAGTAACCAAAAATTGTTAGTCTCCTCTTGTGTGCCAGAAGTTGGAAAATAAAACCTTTGAAAATTCAGGGCCTGCCACATCAACAGAGTAACAGAGATGTACCATTGGCCTATGCATGCAGGGATATTACTCTATGATAAAGTACAAGTCTCATCTTGTACCTCATATGACAAAGACTAAGGTACAGCATTGATATAGGTTCTTCTGGATTTTTTAGTCAACATCTGTCATGCTTCAAAATATTGCTCTGATGCA